CCGTAGAGCAGTTATATATATATATCAAATCGTAAATAATATTTAGAATTATCTATATTTTATTTTACTTTTCAGATGACTGAACTTTTTAAAAAATTTTTTCTAATAAATTTTTATTTTTAACTTTTTCTGCACTGTGGAAACACCTCATAAAACTCAAAGACTGTACATAGATAAATGACATCATCAAGTTAAGTTAAGGCTGTTATTGTCAATTACAACCTAGACATTACAGATAGATTATTAAAATAATAGTTTCTACACAGTAAATTTATGAAAAAATATAAATAATGTAAAAATATTCAAAAACTTTTATTATAATGAAAGAAAGCTCTTCATAAAATTACAAATCTCAATTCAAATGATAGTGTTTGTAAAAAATAATATTATATTTAATTTATAACAAGAATTATGACATTGCATTAGCTGGTACATCAATGCCGACTTGTATTTTCAGAGTATATTGTCAAAAATTTTAATATATTTCAATGGGCTAACTGATTTCATTTTATGTATGGATGACAGGAATGCAAATCATAACTAAATCATAACCATTCTATTTCTAATTTTTGAATTTAAGTAAATAGATAAGTTTCTGAAAAAATAATGTTTTATATTATTATATTATTTTAGTGTTTGTTCTAATTAGTTTTAGTCTACATTATAGTTAATAATTTTTTGAATTTATAATAATAAACATAAATTCTCTCTATTATTATATATTATATTCTAAGGACTTCATGCACTTGTTCCAGAATTTTGTGATGATTTGTTGATTCCCAATGATGCCATTTCTATTTTTTTCTCTAGCTGCTATAGACAGCCAACCCAATCACACTTGCATGCCCCGTAGGCTTCAACCCTTTATTTCCAATATGGACTATTCACAACAAAAATTTCATGACTATTTTATACATATATGGGATAGCTATTGTTCAGATTTTTTTAAAACCTTTTTGCCCTGTGAGCATTAAGAGAACAGTATTGTTCTATTGATCGTTTGGCAATTTACTATATATACCAGGGGTGGCCAACCTGTGGCTCTTTGAAGGATTATTTGTGGCTCTCGATAGATGTACCCGAGTTCCCTTTTTCATTTTTGTGTTATTATATTTTAAAAAATTATTATCGTTCCGTATGTGTTTCAAAATGTCTTTTAAATTACTAACAACAAATATGAAAGACTAAATGCAACGTTGTAACAAATTTCATATCCGTCCAAGTTAAGAATGATATGACTCATCAAAAACTGCGCGAACAAACATAAACAGTGGCGTAATCGTCCGTTATCGACCGACTCCAGACCGATTTTGAATTTGTAAACTGTCATTGCAATGGACAGTTGACATTTTGCTCTGGAGGAAACAATTTGTATCACTCTTGCTAAGGATATAATTTGTATTCTGGAATTTTTTGCATACCTTTTTAATACGTATTTAATTGCGGCTCGCGAAAAATTTCAAATTTTGAAAAATGGCTCGGACTATCAAGGAGCTTGGCCACCCTGGATATATACTATTAGGGCGTTGAGTTGTTGTTATTGTTATTTGTATTGTTCTAATTAATTTTTTGTGACTGTAAATCTTTCAAGGCTTTTTTCAAATTTATCAAGAACAAAAACCTATTATTTTTTCAAACATTTAACTTTAATTTTTATTAGCTTCAATTGAACATGAAGCAGATGCATTCTTTCTTCATTAGAAAAGTATAATCAATCACTTTTCTTTTGCATATACAAAATGTTATTGTTGGCATACTCTTTACTTTTTGGGTTGAAAAAAAACCACATTTAAAACATTGAATATTAATTAGTATTCTTATATATCATTAGTGATATATTTCAAAACTTAAAATAAAGAAAACTTTATAATTTCCAGATATATATTAATAATGCATGAAAATCTAATGAATCATTAAAAGAAGCAAATTGTGAAATTTGTATTATTTGCATTCTAAAATTTGACTTTAATAACTGTAAATATTAAAAATTATTTAAGTAACTTAATCCAGTAATGACTTTTTAAGACTTTTTTGAATAATTATAATTACCAGTATTTAAAAATCCATTAATTGTATTAAAAAGTAATTCTTGGATTGCTGAAATAAAAGACATTTAATTTGTATAGTATCCAGCTAAGGATTTAAAATTCATTAAAAATTAACTTTTATTTTTTAACCAAGTTATACAGTTACTATGCATATAAAAAATATATATATATTTAAGGAATAACCATTAGTCCAGATTCTACATTCAAAGGCGAATGCATGCAGGTAAAAAAATTAAAATGATAATGGATCAAATCAATCATCTCTGTTGGATTGTCAAGGTTAAAAGAGACAATTGATCAAACCAGTCATTGACGCTCACTGCTCATTGTCAACTTAATTTTACTGTCTATATGCATTGCTTTTTAATTATACTAACTATATAGCATTTTTAGGTGCAACATTAATTAAAAATGAATATTTTATTCATTATATATCTCTATAGTTTCATATAACAATTTCAAGTATATGTTAAACAATTTCAATCAGTCTTTATTAATACTTAATCCCCTAGAAAAAAATATCATTTCATCATTTTGAAATAGCTACTGATAGTTTTCAAATGGTTTTTGGGCAGTTTCAAATGATTAAATAAGATGTTCTGATGTCCAGGGCTGTAAGAGGGGAACAGATAATTGTCCCTAGGCCCACAGAAAACTTAAGGGCCTTTAGTGGTTCCTATCCATATATCCCGATAAAATTAATGTTATTTTTACTAACAAAATATATATATATATATATATATATCTTTAAGACTGCATTTTATTAATGAAGAAACATTCTGAATATTTCATTTGTTCAAAAACTGTGGCAAAAAAAGGAACCCATTCTACTTCTGGGTCCCATACAAGCTCTCTACAGTCCTGCTGATATTACTTGTTATCAACTGATGATTTCAAAAGACCAAATAATATGAAATTATTTCAATTTATATCATAATACTAATTTTATTTGAGAGCTAACAATGAAATTAATTGAAATCTCTTGATACTAATTGGCATCTTGTATTCAGAATTTAAAAAAATGAAAACATTATCAGACCATGTAACAAATTTATTTCTGTCATTTAACAATTCTCTTATATAAATGATTACACGACTTAATTAGACAGTCGGATTCCCCCGGTCCGTGCCAGTTCTGAGTCGGCTGTTACACATGACTTACCATTTGTTTTTATCATCATTTCCTGCCAACTATTATCAACTCATATCATTTGTTGCCTTTTGCCATTGGCAAATGATTTAAAATGATATTTTTATTTAGGTACAGTCATCATGGTGAGAGATTGCACTCTATCAATACTAACTGTTCCTATTTTAGGAAAGATACGGTGACAGAATGGGATAGTTCTGTGGTAATTTTGCTACATGTGCAAGTATTTATGCTGTACAAGTTTTATCATTTATAATAGATCATTTTTCCTCAAAAAGGGCATTTGTGTAAACAAAAGTGAACCCCGTAGAGGCAGTAGAGGGTTCACTTTCATTTATGCAAATCCGGGTGATAATTGTGAAAGTAGGGGAGGATGGAGGAGTAATCTATGGATTTAATACTCAATCAAACACATTTTTACTTCAACAGAGATTGTTTCTGGAGAATCCTGAGATTTTTTCCCCGTAGAGCAGTTTAAAAAAGCCAGTGGCAAACAGTTTCAACACAGAGAGTACTACCCCATCTCCCCAAAAATAAGCACAGTGAGCATCAATATTGGTGAGACAAGAAATCGACCAAGTGAAATCTCTGAACTCTCACTTACTTGAACTTCAGGTTGGAAAAAGTGTATGTAAAGACCAAGAAGCACAACTACAGTCATACACATCACTAAACCAGCAAATATTCTCTTCTTTAGTTTCATTTCTTCTAATTATCTTGAACACATCTAATCTGATACTCATTCTGAATCTTTCCTTATCTTCATAACCTGATCCAAAAATACATTTAATAATGACAAATCATTTAAAATGCTATAAATTCTTTCAATGCTTGGATAATTTCAATGCTACCGACAATATATAATATCGTAAATAATTAAATGTATAAATTTAACCGTGCAGAAACATACCTACTCTACAATTATTCTTAATTTCTCTCTCATACTTATCTAAATCGTGTAAAACACATACACTAAAGATTCAAATGATGGACTTTAAATTTTCAACATCACGCTAGACGTCGCTCCTAAATTTTAATTAAACTTTCAAAAATTATATTTCTTCTATTAAACATTTATTCAAAAATTTAAATTTATAATAAAACGATTAAAATTTATTATTATTTATTTACGATTTTATTTACTATAAATAAAATATGCTATAATAACACCTCGTGTTCGAGTTTAAATATATTGAATGACGTTAGATGTCGCTTTCAAAACGTTAAATTCCCCAAAAAATTATATATTTTTCAATTAAATAGTTCTTCTGAAATGTTATTAATATCAACGTTAATATTATTACGTTAAATAAATAAAAAGTAAATAATAACCAATAAAATTAAATATTTTTGTATAATTTTATTTAATTAGAATTAGTTGTAATAATGGCGCATCGATCGATGGATAGTATGCGGAGTCGAGACTGATGACCACGTTAAGTTAGATTTTCGGCGATTATGCAAGATGGAAGAAGTGAAGAGTCGCAATGGGCCGAAAGTGTACGAAAATATGAACGGTTTCGATGACAAAACACCGTTTCTTATAGGAGTTGCCGGAGGGACGGCTTCTGGAAAGGTATATTAATTAATGCGACGATTTATTTATGTAATAATTTAAGTAAACATGCCGTGATTTATATTAAGATGTTATAAACCTATACACGCTTTGCCGTCCGTCTTCTCGTGTTTAAGTTAATAGCACGTTAAAATCAATAGATTATTCTCTCATTCAGCCATTCAACTCTTTGTTTCGAAGAATTGTTGCCTTATCAGGATTTAATGTGTAACGTTCCAAAATAGACTTGGCTCAGCAAATGTTATTTTCATTTAAATATCGTTAGTTCTATACGGCTGGCACATAATCAGTCTTTTTAGGAGATGAATGGTTATAGTAGAAATTCAGAAACTAAATGGCAAATTTTCTCTATTTCTTTTACTTTTTCATCATCTTTTGAATGTAAAGGTTAAAATATGGCTTAATTAATATTCTTCCAAAATTATATATTATCCAATAAAAATTAACTGATTGAATGATACTGTTTGCCTCGAGACTTTTCTATGTTTAAAGTGTAGTAAGATATTTATAAATTAAAAATGCAGTACTCCAGTTGACGCACGAGTGTGGCTCTGAATGAGGTGGTTGGGAAGTTGTTGGAGTTGTAGATTGTGTCCTTAGTTAGAAGAAGTCAAGAGGAAACGACAGTCTACGTGCAATCCTTTGAGAGATATAGTCCTTGGAATTGGCCCACCTGGAATCTTGAAGATCCTTAAAAATGGGGTTTAATTTAAAAGTGAAAAATCTGAAATTTTTTCTCAAAACTGTCAAAAATAAACTATTTTCAACTTTATTACAGATGGCTAAAAGCTTGTGAAACACACATGCAATTGCACAGACTACTTCTGGGGTGCAATCGGAGTCATGCTGCATACTTCATCAAGTCTATTGCATGTTTTAGAAGCTGATTTTAGAGGGCTATGTATGTAGATCATTAGTTTATTTTGACCTTTTTATTCCTATGGGCATGGTTTACAGCTGTGAAAAGCTCCCAATTGCCTCATTCAGAGCTGAATGAGGCAATTGGGACCTTTTCAGAGCTGCATTTGTACCTAAGTGGCAATGATGATTAATAGATTTTGTTGTTTTTGTTACTATAAAAATGTAATGGTGAAGCCTTTCTAATGTCTTTAAAAATAGTCAAAACTAGAATATGGCATAAAACAATTCCTTTTTAATGAGAAAACTTAAAGCATAAAGTTAACTTTTTTGTGAACTTGTATTGGATGGTCTATGCAATATGTAAAACCAGAGGATGTGAAAGAATAGCATGTGTGCATCAAATTTTACTGGATAAAGGTGCTGTAGAAACTTATGGAATGCTTCTAACAGCATTAGAAAATTTTTGTTTTAACAATTATCAATTATATGCTTTTTAAAATTTTTTCATTAAAAAGGGATTGCTTTTAATTTATAAATGTGAAACTAATTCAAATTTTAAATAATTAAAATTTATGGAATAGAGTGAAGTTTCTCCTTATCAAAATATTGTTAAATAAATGTTTATTTCTCCAGTTTTTTTTAAATGTATAAAATAATTTTACTTTTTGATTTGTTTAAATTCAGACAATATTCCAAGTGTAAACTTTTTCTCTGGATCTCCAAAAAGCAAAGAACTGTAAATGCAAACTACTATATGTATAAAAATTTTAACATAAATATATTTTTGTCATTTATAAATAACACAGAAATTATAATTTGATGACATACCAAAATAAATCTTTCATGAATTAATCTATTAATAGATTAGTAGAATTACTATATTAGCAGAATTAGTAGAGTATATTAATAGCTGAGGAAGCATTAGTCTATTATTTTTTAGTTGTGTGTAATATGTTTTTGAATTTTTGTAATCAATTGGACCATGCAGTACCAGATGTTAATTTTGATTATTGTAATAGATATTATTTTCCTTATGTGAATCATAAAATAAAAATTTCTAAACATTTTTAAGAAAATGTTGACTGATCTTTAAAAAATCCATCATTTTTTATGGTTAGATAGGATATATTTTAAAGATTTTTTTTCATTGGTAACTACATACATCAATTTACCCCAAAAAGAACAATAAATAGCAAACCTGATATAAAAGTGCAATAAAGATAAAAGTTACAATAATAATAATTTTTATTTTTAGCTTTTAGCGTTACTATTAAAAAAATCACATATGTAAAAATGACATAAAGAAATATTGCAAAAGTAAGCCGAACAATAAAGTCTAGTAATGTTTTAAAATTGTATTTAAAATGGATTATCAATTATATGTAATTCTTTTGCAACTTGCTTTAAAATTATTTAAGTAAGTAAAGTAAGGATGAGCAGAGGCAACAATCTTAGAGGGCACACTATGAAAGGTTTAATCTGTATTGTGGTTAAGAGTATAAACTGTTGGTATTCTGAGAATAAGAAAGGTGGAAAAAATTAAGCTGTTTTAATGTTTATAATACCGAATCTGATCAGACTATTCAGAAGGAGTGAAGGTCTGAGTTTTAAAGTAGCATATATTTTTTGGAGCGTTTTAGAGACTAACTATGCAAACTTTGTTTGGATTGATCAAACAGTTTGGGGATGGGGGATGAAATCAGAAAGGAGGAGTATTTTATGAAAATTGGGTAAACCAAGTCTATGTATAATTATTTCAGATGTTGTATATTGTAAGTTGTTTCATTTGTTGAAAAATGAGTTTTATACATTTCTTCAGTTAGTATACTGAAGAAATGTATTTATGAATTGTGTTTGACAAGTAGATGACCATATGGATATGCAGTAACCTATATGCATATGCATATGGATAAGTAAAGTATAGGTGGAAAGTAACTAAGCACTTAGAAATTTGTTATAATTTTTATAATAAAGTTTGTATACAGAGACTGAGAGATGCCACTTGCACACTTTACTTAGAGTACAAGAGCTGTCTGTCATTTAGCGGCAGACTTAGCCCTTATAAGAAATGGAAGGAAGAGAAAACAAATGAGAGACCAAGTGTGAAATGAAGGAAAATAGGAAAGTGTGAAAGAAGATATGAGAGCTTATGTCAATTGCTTCAGTAGTTGATAGAGTACAAGATACTATACAAGGTTACAGTATAAATCAAACAAATATACAAAGTGCCTTTCTGGCAATGATGAACGTGTAAATTTATATAGTTGAGTACATTGGAGACTGAATGAAGGTATAACATCTTATAAAAGCGGGATGACAAAAGGCCAGTGAGCCACCAATAACCATCATGCTGATGCAATCAATGAGCTGATGTTGCCGCAGCCATTGTATTTGTTGTCATTATTGATGTTACTAATGCTGTTGCTGTTGTTGCTGATATAGTAGTAGTAACTGATGATGATGCTGCCACTGTTGTTGTTGCAGCTTTGTACAGTTGATTAGTTATAGCTGAGAACAGTCCACAATTCTTGGTGAAAGTTTCGAAGGCATGGTAAATTTCCTTAGAAGAACAGAAGAAATCTAGGCTGGGTGGCCAGTTTTGGCCATTTTGAATGGTGAGACAGTATAGCGGCTGGTGGGCGGTGTTGTGCTTTGGGCAGTCCAGGAGAGCATGATAAATATCACCCACAGATTGACAGTCGTAAGTAGCATTGTCCCTTACTTTGAATCTGCTGAGGTAAAAAAATGGCACTTGTCTGTTCAGGACAAAGTGTAGATTGCTGCATACTGTGGTGTGGAAATCAGTGTTGCTGTGTAGAATGGTGGCATATGGTAAAGGGATGTAATTCCACAATCTGTCTGGAAACAATCAAGAATTGTCATTCAAAGGTAATGACCACAGGTTTAGTTGCTGATGCACAGAGAAATGGCCAGACATCCACATTATGATTTCTGGTTGTTTGAGGAAGTTGATGGATGGTGTCAGTGCCTACATTGAATTTTAAGGTATGCATTCATAATTCCATGTAATAAGGTATGTGTCAAACAATTTTTACTGTTTTTTTCATTAGAAATATAGAAATTATAGCAAATTTCTCAATGCCTAGTTATTTTCCACCCACCCTGTAGATTGAAAATTAGTAAAATAAAATGTCAAGCCCTTTGATAAGATGAAATAAATCTGCAGTGTCTCCACATGATTCTTCTGTGTAAACTTTTTATTAATTTGTCTATGTACAGTTTAAAAGTTAATTTTTTTAAAGTATAATCAAATGAAAATACACTAGAACCCCTCTAATTCATCACCTTTGGGACTGGGGGTATGGTCGGATTATCAGAAAAAAGTAAAATAAACAATCTTCCCCTTTGTCCAGTCTTTGTAGCACTGCTAATTTTTCATTTAATGAAAGAGTAACGTGTTTACGTTTCACTCCTGACATGTTGAAAACACACACACAACTGTACATGTACACACAATGTAAAACATATACTGTAACGAACACAGAAAAACGCCACAGATGGTGAGTCACCGACGAGTCGGGACAAGTTTTTCGACTCCGACCACGGTCGGATTAACCTGAGTGACGGACTAGCCGAGGGCGGACTAGAGTGGTTCTACTGTATACAAAAATAATTTTAAAACAATATTAATTAAAGTAACTTCAAAAATTTAGCATTGAATTGTTTTGTCTTTATTTTATAATTTTAATATCAATTCATAATTATTAAAGACCATGATGTGTTTTATTAACTATTTAAACTAGTTCCATTAGCTAATTATACATGAATGAATTAATGCTACTACTGTATTATTTTTTTTCAAAAACAAGTTATATAAACATCAGAAATATTTAATAATGAAAGTGATGTTTGAAGACTTACAAAAAATATTTGCTGTTACATAAATTTGATGGCTAAGTAAACATTCAATGATCGTGAATGTCAAGGTTTACTGGTTACTACAGTGACTACTGGCATATCTTTACTTCTGAAAGTAGAAATAAGAGTACAATATCACATTACGGCTGAATTTCTATTCAACTGTATCAATCATATTGTATCAAAATCATCAATTTATTGCTGGAAATGTATATTCATAATGAAAACTGATTTGAGCTTTGAAGTTTTTCAATATATTG